GGGGGCGCCTGCTGTTCAGTGAGGAAGAGAAGTTGGGAAGAGAAGCCGATATGCTGGGTTGGGGTTCCGTACTCAGTGCGACACATTTTTAGTACCCTGGAGGTGGCCTGAGGGGGTGTGTGTGCACGCGCGCGCGCGTGTGTGTGTGTGTGTGTGTGTGTGTGTATGTGTGTATATGTGTGGCTTAGCAACTTCAAGGGGATAAGAGAAGCTGAATTATTATCTCAATGTCACTACAACCTTTATTTCTGAGTGGGTGAGATTTTCCACGTCTATATTACCATTCGGTATTAACTGAGCGAATTGGGGTATCTCCGAAGGACTTTCTATAGTTTAGGAAGCCCTGTTAGATAGATGATGGTCCCTGAATATGACCAAAAATAAATCCAAAGTGGATCATTTGATTTAAAACTAATTAGGTAATTTTCCTTCAGTTTCTCCCACATATTGAGACGTTTAATGCCTTACATATTAGCATTTTCCCTTTTATTGTTTTATAATTTTGTCCATATATAATGATAGCTCACACTTGTTGAATACCGTGGCAATGTTTTACCTATATGAATTCACTTAATCCTTCTAACAGCCACATGAGGTTATCATGTATTATTATTATTAACCTCTTTGAACAGAGGTGGGCACTGACTTCAGGAAGCACACCCAAGATGGCACAACTGTTGAGGCAAGCAGCTGGGGTTCAGACTCAGTCCGGCTTCAAGGTCCACACGCTTTCCCAGTGCGCCAAACTAGCTCTCACACTACAGCGTCATTAGTGGAAACTCAAAAGAGAATCACCCTTCAGAATCCCGCCACCCAATGCATCAGATCGGTTCCCTTTTCCACGGCCTCGCCTGTGACCTTGTCTGGGCTCACTCTTTTTACCTTCGACGTCTACGTAACGTTTAGGTAGATTTTAAATTCATTTCTCCTGTTTTTAACTGTATTGGTAGTTCCTCTGCTATGAACAGACACGTTCCATCTGCACTTTATGCCAATTCCACCTCCCGAGGATATTGTAAATACCCCCAAAGCAGGAATTAGCTTTCCTAATTTCCTATAATTCCCCAAATACTCTTATTCTCAGAGGACATAGCAACGTCCTGGGAGCAAACTGTCAACCCTTGGCAGATGGGAAGTGTAACAAGGTTGAATCTAAGGAGAGGAGTAAATATGAACTCACTTTGAGGTTAGTAAGCCGGGCAATAAGCTGTTTTATTTAGCCCTCCTGCCAACTCGACAATATAACTGGGGTTATAGATATTGTTATTAGCCCGTCTTATGGATAAGGAAACTGAGGCACTGAGAAGTTAAGTATTTTGCCCAAGCTCGCCCACCTAGTAGGTAGAGTAGTTGGAATTTGAGCCTGGGTCAGTGGGACCTAAAACCCGGTTGTGTGTTCCTGTGTGTCTGCACCGTGCCACAGGTGATGCACGCACGCCCTTGGCACAGAAGAGCTTGTGGGGACTGGCCCTCACGTGCGATCAGGGACAAATCTTCGCGTCCCACAGTTGTGCCTGAGCTGTGCTTCCCCTACCTGGTGTGGGTACAAACCAAAAATCATTTAAAGCAGACATCAGAGCACCGTTTGGAGCGATTTGTATGTGTCTGCTCTTGGCTGTTAACTCCGCGTAACCTCACCTTGACCCAAATTAACTGTGATGAATACAAAGCTGTGACCGCGGGCTCCAAGACGACTGGCCGGCTGGGCACTCGGCTTGACACTTCTGGGCTCCGAACAATTAAATCCGTCCCTTTGGCCAGCGCCAGTGCCCTGTCACGGAAACAGGAGCCTTATTCAATACTTAACCCACGTTACTGGGCAACCGATAGGATGAAATAAGGAGATTTTCGTCCCTGTATATCAGCCAATTCCTCAACATACTTATGTCAGCTCAAGAGCATAATGTTTCCTAATTAATTAAGGTGAATCCTCCCATTTGTACATATGGCAATCTTGGAGTATACAATAATCTCGGAAAGAAAGACTTCCCTGCCTGTAAAATATCGATTACTGGAAACTCTCTCTCCCTGGGGCGCGCTGTTTATCGTTAGCCATCCACTATTTTTGAATTTTGGGCATAGGTAACGTAACTCCAGTCAATGGTATAGGCAAACTCAGGATCCTTCTTCAGTGGGGATTCTGATGCACGGACAGTACCTTCCCAACTATCCCTGGTGAAGGATTAGTTTTCTCCCCCTCGATCCGTTGTAGGCAGATACTCCCGTAAATACAATAGAAGTTTTGCCACAACGTCAAATTGCGTGCTTTCAATCTTTATACGGACCTTGCTGCCCCCAGCTACACAGCTCATGAGTGGGTCCCACTTTGGGAAGCACTAGCCAGATGACCTCTCAACGTCTCTTTTCTTTCAATTCTTGTTTACTTTTTTTGTTTTTAAGTTTATTTATTTATTTATTTTGAGAGAGACAGAGACCACGTCAGTGGGAGGGGGTAGAGGGTGGGGGAGAGGGAGACAATCCCAAGCAGGCTCTGCCCTGTCGGCCCAGAGCCCGACGCGGGGCTCGAATTCATGAAATCGTGAGATCGTGACCTGAGCCAAAAATGAGAGTCAGACACTTAACCCACTGAGCCACCCAGGTGCCCCTCTATTCTTTAAAAATGTTTATTATTATTATTATTATTATTATTTTTATTTTTGCAAGAGTGGGGGAGGGGCAGGGAGAGAGAGAATCCCAAGCAGACTCTTCACTGAAAGCACAGAGCTGGACGTGGGGCTCTAACGAACCATGAGATCGTGACCTGAACCGAAATCAAGAGTCAGACACTTAACCGACTAAGCCACCCAGATGCCCCCAATGTCTCTTTAGGCTATACACACGGGCCCCTGGCTGTTGTTTTCTAGTTGACTTATAAGAGAGTGACAGAGACCTCATTGCCCACTTGTTTTCTCCTTCTAGATTTGGGTCTTCTAAGGCATCTAGGTTACATGGCAGTCAAGAATGGGGCATAGGCTGCTGGGAAGGCGCTCTTTGTCTAAAATCTGCTTCAAGCACTCAATTGTTTCTAAGAAGCAAGGATGGGATTTCATTTTTGTTCCAGGAAAACACTAGACTGGAATATTATTCTAGTCATATCCAAGGGAAGTCAGCCATCCTTTGCAAAGTTAATCAGAGCCCTCCTCCACCGTCTTCTAGCTCTCGGGAGAGGCTTTGCTACTGGTCTTGCGGCATTATCGAAAGATAGATTTTATAAAAGTGTCGCAATGTCTCTTCTCTGTCTTCAGAAAGACGAGTCCCTATGTGCCTGTGCCTTTTTGCATTCGTTGTGTTTTGTTGGTAGGATAGCCCTTCAGAAAAGCAATACGGTCAAAAGCAGATATCTGAAAATAGGTCTCAGCTGACATAAAAACGTAGATATTCTTTATTCTGATTATTATCATCTCTGGGAATTTGCCTGAAGAACATTTCTGGAGAGAAAAAAAAAGCTAAACAATGGAGGTATTAATTGAATTCTCACTTGAAGGTAACAAACAACAACAACAATAATAATAAAAGAATGGGAAACAGCCTAAAGATACCGCCACATGGAAATGATTACATCAAGCAGTGTTGAAATACACAATAGGAAGATGCAGGGAAACTTAAAATAATGATCATGGAACCTATGTAGAACACAGTTGTTTACGTCAACGTTAAGTGAAAAAATACAGTTGAGCGTCACGCTTTGGCGGATGTGCGCGTTGGCCCTTGGTCCGGTTGCTCTGGCCTTCTTCCTGCTCTGCTCCGAATGACACGGGTGCTGACTCCCCCGGTCCCCCTATCAGGGAACCTCCAGCTGGATTCTGTCAAGGCAGGCACGGCAGGAGGCTGGAGACTGGGAGGAAAGGAGAAGCCAGGGGATTTCTGCCCTCCTTGGTCTCTAGCCCTCCATGTCTCTAGCGTCTCCATGGTGCCTGCTCCCGCCCACGGACACAGCCATTATGGTCCCAGCTACTGCTAGGGAACAGGGCCACCGCCTTTGGCAACATCATTTCCTGCCTTACTTTTCCACCCTAAGGACGGGAGCAATTGCCTCACCGTCTTCTGTTTGGCTTTTAAGCTCTGCTATCGCTTCTCTGTATTGTCTTCACTGTATTTTAAATATGTGTGAGTGTTTTCCTTCCTTCCTTCCTTCCTTCCTTCCTTCCTTCCTTCCTTCCTTCTGTCTTTCCTCCTTCTTTCCTTCCTTCCTTCCTTCCTTCCTTTCTCCTTCCTTCTTCCTTCCTTCCTTCCTTCCTTCCTTCCTTCCTTCCTTCCTTCCTTCCTTCTGTCTCTCCTCCTTCTTTCCTTCCTTCCTTCTTCCTTCCTTCCTTCCTTCCTTCCTTCCTTCCTTCCTTCCTCTCTCCCTCTGTCCCTCCCTTCCTCCCTACCTCCTTTCCTTCCTTCTTTCTTTCCTCTTTTGCTTGAATCTGAAAAATACACATGAAGTTCGGAGTGTGGCAGGGGTATTTGGAAGGGCTTCCTGGAGGACAGAACTGTATGGTGAAGGACCATTGTCTGGGGGGATGAGCAAGCCAGGGAATCAGGGTTTTGTGATGGGATGGGGGTGGGGGTGGAGTGAGAAGACCACTCTGGGCTTGACACTGAGAAAGAGAGAAACATATTTAATGATATGTATCTCCCGTGCCTCATCTGGAACAAAGAATATGGGCAAGAATATGGGGGAAATGAGAACGTAGTTGGGCTCTTACCGGACAGGCTGGTAGATCCGTATGATCTATTGTAATTGTATGATACACATGTGTGATGGCCACAGCCTCTGCCCTGGCCGTCCTGGTGTCTGTGTCCTCATGAGCTTCCCTTCCCGCTCCCCCTCCATTAAATAGGGCTGACTGTGTAGTTTGGGAGACGTTGTGGAAATGTCAAAGCGTGACTTCTGAAGTTAAGCATAAAGGACATTGAGGCTTCTAGCCACCTTCCACCTTGCTCTCCCTCGGGTCACTTGCTCTGGGACCAAGCCAGCTGCTGTGTCATAATGCCATTGTCACCTCCGCAGCTTTACAGGGACACCCATGTGGCAAGAAACTGAGACCTCCTGCTAACAACCAAAACCGATTGGCCAGGGATGTGAGGGAGCCCCCTTGAGAGTGAACCTTCCAACCCCACTCCAGCCTTCGGATGATGCAGCCATGGCCGACTGCCTGACTGCAGCCTTGTGGAAAACCCTGAGCCGGAACCATCCAGTTAAGTGGCTCCTGAAAGCCTGACCCACAGACACTGTGAGAGACAATAAATGCTCACGGCTGCTTTAAGCCACTATGTTTGGGAGGTAATTTTTGGCAAGCAGCAACAGATAACGAATATGTATCCCGTATATTGGGCATATCATTACTTAGTAGTTCAGATATTGAAAGTCAGGTGTCACATAACAGCAGGTTTTGTACTCTCCCCCCCATGTAGGTTGCGATGCCTTGAAAAAAATCTAGCTTTTACTCTCTGATTTAAAGGCACAGCATCATGGGGTACTTCCTTTCTCGCCCCCAAATGCAGCCGTCTACAGCGAATCTTAGGAATACCAAGACCGGTTCCTTACATGAAAGATCTATTTCAAACTTCTTGGCATTTAAAATGTTAATCTTTCTAGAGCCGAAGGTTAAACCAGTCTCTAGATTTTTCAGAGATACTACCGATTCACTCTGGCCACCGGACTCTTTAATTTCAAACAGAGCATCGTTAAGACTCCATTGAAGCAGGACTGACTCCAAATCAGGAAACAACTCTCAGCTTTCACAAAAACCTTTCAGAGGTATGGGAAAGATGGGTCAAGGCTGACAGGCAAAGCGTTTTCTCAGGCCCGGTGGTTTTTTGTTGTTGTTGTCTTTGATTAACTGCTTGTGTATTTCTTCTTGATCCCAAACAGCAGCTCCCTGGGCTCGTCTCTCCTGCTGTCCCCGTCGGAAAATCCATACCCACAACCTTTCCCAGCCTTTCGTCTGCCTCTGGAGAATCAGGGAAGCCAATGGGAGCATTGTTCGCTCGACAACCGGGCTGTCCTTCAGGGTACAGACGCGCGGTGGGCGTCATTGACCACAGGAGCGTATGAGAAAGGAAGCCTTAGGTATTGTGCCTCATGGCACAGGTTCTGGTGGCCCCTCCCTCGGGAGGCTTGGCTTGGGATCGCTTCTGTTTTGCGGTACCGTGTGTAACCTTGGCATGCAATCAGCAGAGAAAATATTCATTATTGCCTGACTGTCTGCCGAAGACAATTTCAATTATTCTCGCATTTCAATGGATGAAGAAGCCCTTTAGGCTGGCCCCGGAGATTAGACTTACAGGCTCCGTAAATTAGGAAAGTTACAATCAGTATATTATCTGGCAGGCAGCTGTGGGATACGGCACAGCAGGCAAAGAGAGACAAATTGCTATATTCCGGTCGCGGTTTTGATATATCAATTTTCAAGTTTAACACACACATTTGGGAAAGAATGATTTTGCATTTCTTAAATCACTTTTAACTGCCTGCACTCGAAGTTTCTGAACCTGTAACTTGAATAGCCGGCTTGCCTTGCTGACGTTTTGTTTTAAAGCCCAATTTCAGCTCGGAAAAAATATTGCTGAGGACAGAGCTTGGGAATGAATCTTTCCTAAAGTTATTCAAATAATATAATATATGGCAGTTAAGCAGAATATTCCATTTGCAGAAATGTGAATGATGTCCCATATAAAGGCTTTTTCTTTAATGGGATGTTTTCCTGTCTTTTCTCCACCCCCCCCCCCGCCCAAGAATCTCTGTTGTGATTATTACATCGACGTATTTAATATATATTATTTCACCATGCCTGTCTGATAACGATACATCTGAAAATAAAAATAGCGAGCATAATAACCTATCACAACATACAAACGGTTGCGTAAGTCAGGTCTATTGGTAAAGAAGTTTTTCACGACTCTTCAAGTTCTTTTGGAACATTTTTGATACCTTAGCACTCACCTATCATTTGAACAATAGATTTGCTTTTCACCTTCGTAAAATCCCTTTAAAAAATACATTTTGAGGCTGCTGAATGCTTTACAGCTATGCCTCAAGCAGAGCTAACCGTTCCTAGCTGAGTTTAAGCTGAGTTTCAGAAGATTTGGTTGGCTTTGGGTTAATGTGAAAAATGTTTTCTTCGAACTAGATGGTTACCTTGAAAACTGTTCATCTTCACATTTGCACACGTCCTTTATAAAGCAAGTCAAGAGACATAAAGAATCATTAAAATGCAGCTATTTATAAGAAAGCTTTGTAAAAAGCATGGGGGGGGCCCTCCACTAGCCCCCAGATAACTCCTACTTTCTAATAGGCCTCTCTGAAATTCAAAACGAGCACACAAAACTCCAGAGGAAGCTTCTTTGCTCTGGAAATATTTACATTTACCGGGTAGAGCAGACGGGCGGGTTTGGATATATCGTCATTCTCAGTTTATTTGAAAAGAGTTTGAGAATTTTAACTTAAGAAAGTTCTATCGGGTATTAGGGTGAAACACCAGTGACTAGCCTGCAACTGGGGCCCTCGCGGTCTGGGTTGACTTCAACACGCCTTCTACGGGACTGTCCCCATACACCTTGTCAGAAAGGGGCTTCCCAATCTTTCTTTCCCCTCCCTGTTTACGGAGCCAGATTGCCCACGAGGGACAGTGCTTGTCTTGTACAACACCCAGGAAGTGCCCTCGATTGCAAACACTGCCGCTCGACTGTGGCCTTACTCAGTCCATTGTGCTGTTGTGTTTTCTCATGGGGATCGCCGGGCTAGTCCAGGCAAGCATCTGCAATTCTTAAACGGACAGTTCCAGGATAGAGAATTTAAGAGACAACCGAATCGAGTTTTAATGCCCTGTTAGGTAATAATGAAAGACATTTATGGAAAAAAAAGAAATTCCAGTTAGTTTGAAAGCCCGGGCCCACACTCCGTATTCTGACAGCAGATGGATGGCTACCTCAACTAATCCCGGTTTACTTTCTGACTCGGATTTGTCTCGCTGGTCCAGTGAGATGGTGAGGGCTTCCTCCAATCTGGTTAATGCTCGGAACCAGTGTTTGAGTTTTAGACTAATTATGGGCCAATAACTGACATTTTTTTCTATAATGTGAAGACTGGTGCCAGCAGGAACTCAGTGAGATTTAACATAAAAGCAAGATAAAACAATTAAAGTGGAAGAATATTTGATTAAGTGGACCGCTGATTTATAGTGGGGTAAATTGAGATTGAAAGGAGAGTGAACTTTTTATGGCAATCATATATTACGTTCATTATCAGAGACTCTGGGTCTTTTGTGCTTCTGCGCTTTAAAAAGAAAGAAACCTGTTTAAGGAAGAGTCATCCTGGCCGGCGTCACTTTTTGTCTTCTCCTGAGTTATGGTTTCTTCCCGTTGCAAAAGTCGAATAAATCATATTCGAGTGAACTCATTGCAAAACGTGCAGTCAACATTTGAATAGACCCCAAAAAAGTGTAGTAACAAGGTCACACATGGCCAAACACACACAAACACTTTTGTTTTGGTGACAGAGCTTGACACGTACTTCAATCAGCGCGTATTTGGTATTTGCAAAACTTGTAGCCATGGCAACATCCCTTCAGGGGTCCCGGGCCTGGTGTGGAGAGCAGCAGAACGCCACGAGGTTCGGTATCAGACCCGGGACGTTGTGAAACAGCTGTGTGCCACATGCCTCTTCTTGTCCCGTCTCTGGCTGTGCTGCAAGGCTCTCCTGCACTTGGAATTCAGTGGTTGCTGAAGCTTGCGTTAGCAGGTGCCTGCCGCGTGCCCCCGACATTCCGCGGTTCACGAGAGCTGGCCCTCTCTTTCTGCAAACCCAAGTCGCTGGGGGTGGGGGGCGCTGCCTCAGAAAAAGGAGCATGACAGCGTGCCGGCAAATGGAGAGGAAGCAGGTCAGCATAGATGAGGCAAAGGAAGAGCGGAGACTGGTGATTGGGGAGATTCCGAGAGCTGTTGATTTTTTTGTATTTATGATTAATTTTTATTTTTCAAAAAGTTTATTTATTTTGAGAGAGAGAGAGAGAGAGGGAGAGAGAATGAGTGGGGGAGGGGCAGAGAGAGAGGGAGACACAGAATCCGAAGCAGGCTCCAGGCTCCGAGCTGTCAGCACAGAGCCCGACGCGGGGCTCGAACCCACGAACCGTGAGATCGTGACCTGAGTCCAAGTCAGAGGCTTAACTGACTGAGCCCCCCAGGCGTCCAGAAAGCTTTTTAAAGAGAAGATGGGGCACCTGGGTGACGCAGTCGGTTAAGCGTCCGACTTCAGCCAGGTCACGA